ACCTTTCTGTGGAACTTGCCTTTCAGGTCACTGTTACCAGAGAAGGGCTTGTGGGCAGACTTGGATTCAATTATGTAAACTGTGTCTCATCTAGAAAATAGCGATAACATGTACTGGGCAGGATTATTGTTGGGAACAGCAGATACACAGTTAAGCATAAGGCTCAGCTGTGAACAGTAGCTGCTATTGTCCATTTCCTCTGTGAGTGAGGTTAGGAGTTTTCTTACATTTAAAGCAGGGTAGCCTACAATTAAGCAGGCATCAGACCATCTTTCAGGCTGTCAGTCAATCTGTATTAGTATTTTAATCTTGGAATTGAATCTTCAATGCAGAGTTTCTATTTTAACAATCCAGACAGATTCTTTTCTCCCTCCCTTGGAAATGTGGGTTCACATTGTGTAGATACACAAATACATGCTTTATTGTAAAAATAGAAGAAATAAAAGGTATAAGAAGAAAAAAAAAAGAAGGGTTTGGGATATAGCTCAGTGGGTTAGCACCCATGGATATCCATAGTACCACAGTAAATATAATAACAATATGCCATACTATATATATTTCATGAATATAATATATAGTGCTAGATCAGACACCTAGATAGATCAACAGTTCAGTAAACAGATGGCAAGTTAGGGAGCCTGGAAGGAAACAGAGCAAAATGATACCTGTGATATTTTCTTGGATGCTAAAATTATATATGATATTAATCTTTACATTTTTGCTTATCTATGCTTTATAAAATGAACTTGTTTTAATAATTATATAAAAAATTTAGCCCAAATAAGGTAGATCTATCAAATGTAATTGCTCATAAAAGGTTTGCCATGTGCTATCACTGACCCCAGACTCCCAACTAGCTTGGGCTACCCCAGACTGCTAATGTCTGTGTTCAGATACAACTTATATGTCCTTATTCCCCTCTGAGTCATTACTTCCAGATCTTGGCACTTCAGTAATATCTCATAACTTCCCTACTCTCATCTTCATTTATACATCCAAGGATTGTTCTAACCTAGTAGCCCCCAGGTCCATTTTTTTTTTCAATTTACTACACTGTTCTCACATGCCAAGATACTTGCATGAAAGTACAACTTCAGAACTTGGAAAAGTGTCAGTAGCCTCACCTGGAAAATTCATGTAATAGATAATACATTTTCCTACCAGGTCCCTCTTTCACTGGTTTCTCTATTAAACCCCATGTATTTACATTTCCAAACGGTTCCATGTCGTAGGAAGTGCACTACCATAATTTGGTAGGCAGTAGTCCCAATAGGAAGCATTAACTCATAATGGACTTGCAGCAGATACAAAAGATGCAAAGAAAAACATTTGGTTTGGTTTCATAAAATTATCAATGCTATCATGATATCATCATCTATTTTCTTCAAAACTATTAACAAGTGAATGATGTCACTGGATTTGAAAGCATAAAATTATTCTGGCATTCATGAAATAAAATCCATATGGTCATAATGCAGCACTAATTCCATTTACAGTTATTTTATTAGAATTTTCAAGTCAATATTTATAAGTGAGATTGTCTCTCTTTTTCTTCTGCTGCTCACCTCTTTCTCAAGAGATTTTCCCCCCTTTTGTTTTATTTAATCAGTGATCAAATTGTAGGAAAAAAATGTAGAGTTTCTTTTGTAGGTTATAGAAGAAAAACTTGAAACAGGAATTCTGTACAAGTGATTTGTTAAAAAATTCCTTCCAAAAAAAAAAAACAGAAAGGCATGTGTTAGTCAGCTTTACATCACTGTGACCAAAACACCTAACAATATCAACTTAGAGGAGTTTACTTTAGCTCATGGTTTTTGAAGTTTAGTCTATGCTCAGCTGAGCCCATTGCTCTGGGACTAAGGTGAAGAAGAACATTTTGGTAAAAGGGTGTGGCAGAGGAGAGTACTCCCTTCACATGGCTAGGAAGTAGAGGGAGAGGGGGAAAGGGCTTCAGGGAAGAAGAACCCTTCAAGGACATGCCCCCAGTGAGCAAGCCCCTATAACCATGCCCTACCCACCTACAATGACCAAGCAGTTAGTACATTCAAACTAGGATGGACTGATTAGGTTATAATTCTCATAATCTAATCATTTTACCTCTGAATAGTCCTGCATTAACACAGAAGCTTTAAGGGGTACCTCATATCCAAACTGTAACAGGCAGGAATGTAGGACAAGGAAAGAAAAGAAGCTGTGCCAAGACCTGGTTTGAGCTGCCACCTAAACTCTACTTAATCCCACAAGGAACACTGGCATATAACTACTACACCGAGAGCTCCTACCTTAAGAGTTGGGTGCTGGGGTTTGCGTACCTTCACTATAGTTGATCATTTGCTCTGGGCTGCTCCAGGGGAGTAGGCGTAACTTCACAGGTCTTTCCAGGTGAGGTGGACCCATGAGGTCAGAGGCAATTCCCCTGAGAAGGAAGCAGATGTGAGCTGTTTGCAGCCAACATTCACAGCAACTCAGGGATGGATACTCTGGGGCAGTAAGGCAGTTTTAGATAGAGCACCAACAACATGTCTTCATTTTTCTGCACCCTGGGACAGTTTCAATATAGCCAGAAAAATCTATCACTTAAGAGACTTAAGGATTTACTCATGAAAAAGTTATGAGATGGGTATTTACTGAGTAGGGAACTCTTTGACATCATTCCCAACTATGTCCTTAATTACTTGGTCTACTTAGATTTTCTATTTCTTCCAAGGTCAACTTYGATGGTTCATATTTCCTTTAGATCACCATCTACTTCAGTCAAGTTTTCAAAAATTTGATCATCAAATTATTGATTACCATAACTCCTTTTAATTATTCCTTGACTTGGTTCTAACATTAAGCTGTGGCTGCTGCTCTGTGCCCCCTCTCCTTTTGGCAACTTCTTTCTATTGAATTAGTGGTGTTGCTCCAAATGGGGAAATTTGGAATTTATTTACAAGTCTATTTGGTTTTCTCTATCTATTCCCTTTGTGGCATACTTATGGTGTTCAATTTGGAATAAATTGAGCAGAGAAGAAATGCCCTCTGCTGTAAGCTGGGTTAGCAGGATGCTTGCATGTTGCTATGAAAGGAAATAATCCATTGTTTCCTTATTCCCTTATTATTCCCTCTTTCCCAAGGCCTTTGTTAGCCTGAGATTAGGTCCAATCACTCCCTTTGGCTGTTCAGAAGCTCCGAGACTTTAATAATGAGAGTGATATCTTTTTCCCCCCACCTGGGGCAATTTATCTAAGCTAGCATGACATCGCCCCCACGTACAAAACTCCCTTTCTTACATGGATTTGGATTAGGATTGGCAACAGAGGAAATTACTTGAGATTTAAAAGATGGAGGTATATACATGGCAATTTTGTTAGGTTCTGAAAGAAGGTGTGGGGCCAGTGACACATACACTGTCACTGATCTGCTGGCTCCCCTGGCTCAAGAGGAGCATCAGTTGGTTATCAGCTCTTTCAGATCCTACCATTTCTTTTCCTTCAGTTTCTGATAGTACTAAGCAAATATATTTTCAACTTCATGGGAAAAGACATTAATGACTTCTGCAGGTCACTCTTGTCATTGGAATTATATAAAGTTCAGAACAGACATGGATTTCAGCCCATCCATGCAGGTTTCAGGGTGCCCTTGGCCTCTGACACTTCATTTCATCTTCTCTTTCCAACTCTCAGCCCTGCAGACACAAAGATGCCAGTCTTACAGAGACTGCTTGATGGGTTTCCAAGACTGTGTAAGAGATACTCCCTCAGAATTCAAAGTGGTTCTTTTTTTTTTCTGATTAATTTCTCACTGATAAATAAGCAAGTTTATCAAGTTTGGCTCCTTTTTACCAAAAAAAAAAAAAAGACTTCTGTATGGAAAGTTCCATGTAGCCCCTGAAAATATACTTTTTTGGGGCCAACCCGTAAATTTGTCAGATGCTGAAACCCTCAGTGATTCTAGTCTAGG